CTTTGAGAGCCACCTTTTTCTATATTTGCTTGCATTTTTGCTTTAATGTTTTCTATCGAACTAGGTCCTTTTCGAGTTTTGGAAGTTTCTTCCTGTTTTTCAATGATTCTTATTCTTTCTATTGTGGAGTTGATGGTTTTGAGTCTTTCCTATTCTGGTTTGATTTTTGTGCATTTTTGGCTGGAGTATCCCATATAGATTTCTTCACTTGTGCTTTTTCTTCAGCTTCATCTCATCAAATTTATCATCATCGTCGTTACCGCCATCATCTTCATTAGTAGCAAGTTTCACTTTTTTCTGTGGAACTTTGTTACCACCTGCAGGGGCAGACCTCTTTTCTGATATACTTAAGAATTTCACATCCTTCTCCTCTTCATTATCTGACTCGACATCTTTATCCACAGCTTGTAAGTGTTTCCACTTATATGCACAGGCCCTGAGCCACACTTCAATCATAAGATGATAGGTGGTGTTATTTCAAACCCCCAAGTGAAAGTGCTAGTTGTACAGACATTTTCCAAGTTGCCAGTGTTACTTTAATTCAGCTGCTCTCATAACTCATTGCCTCTCCTTCAACAAAGGGCAATTCATCCTTTGCACCAGACCCTAAACTGAGCATTTTTAAAGATAACTGGTGCTCATTTTCATCATTATCCACCTTAAAGTGATAAATCTTTGTCAGCTTTCTGTTTATAACTGAAAAGGTAGTTTTGGGGCCACAGGGGCCTCATGTCTATATCCATCAAATCTTCCATGGATTGCTGGCTCACACTTATGTGGGAAAGAAGGACGGCAATAAAACCACTGTTATCAAGAACAGCAGCACAGGACGGAATCACAGCAGGGGATCTTTTTCCTTCTTCTTTCATATACACTGATTATATGTAGTTTGTTAAATACTGGTTTAAAATTGGTACTGTGAAAAACATAGTCACTTTCCATTTTTTATTAACTTTCTACTATAATACAGTAATATTCAAAAAGCTCACTGTAGTAGGGTAGGAAGTAACTCATAACTGACCCTCTAGTAGGTTTTCAAAGGCTGTAAGTCACATGGGAGGAGATTGCTCATTTCTCCCCTGTGAAGCAATCAGTGGTAGATTTGAAGCACTTTTACATTTGTAGCACAACTTTTTACCCACTAGGCTATCTAATATAGTAACAGAAAACTCTAAATGAAAGCAACTAAACTGGACAAAATAAGGAAAAAAATTATAGATAGCAGCTACAGAATTGTCCATGTAATCATGGATATCAAAGCCAAAATAGTAAAATGATAATTAAATATATCCTTAGAAAAGGATATCATGCTTGGAAAGGTGGAGGGTCAGCAAAACAAAGAAAAACCTGCAGGTAGTTGGATTGACATTGACTATAACAATGGGCTCAAGTTTATTAGAGATGATAAGGATAGCACAGGATATGGAAAGGTTCAGATCATAAGGTCGCTATAAGTCATACTCAACTCAGTAGCACCTAACAACAACAAAACAATTTTAAATACAGTAATGAAATTATGAGCTATTACATTTTAAATATACTCTATTTAAAACATGCTGATTTTAAATACAGTAATAAAAGGATAAGCTACTATATTTAAAATTATAAATTTTGAATTGTAAATATAGTAGCTTACCATTTTACTCTGTAATAGCATTTACTTTGAAGGAAATGTTTTTACTTTGTAGTAGCTTTACTTTGTAGGAATAGTACAATGTTAGATTAGCTGTTGCTGTTATGTGCTGTCAAGTCGTTGCGACCCATAGTGAACCAGTGTACAACAGCTCTGAACCCTGCTCTATCTTAAGCCAATTTCATTGTCCCTGACAGACCTACTCCCGTTACCCCAGTCATTGAGTAAAATCCTTCTCATCTAGGGTCTTCCTCTCTTGTGCTGTCCCTCTAGCCTTCCAAATATGTTGTTCCTCCACAAGGACTGGTCCTTCTTGTCAATATGCCCAAAGTATGTGAGATGAGCTTCAAATTTCTTGCCTCTGAGGAGCAGCAGCGTGGTTTCACCCTCTTCAGGATGGACCTGTTTGTTCTCTTAGCAGTCACTGGTACAGTCAATACTCTTCTCCAGCACCACAACTAGAGCAACACAGAAACTGCTCTAAGTCCGACTGGCACAGAACAGAGCAGAGTTTAGGGATGTTGTACATAGGGGTGCTATGAGTCGCAAGCGACTCAACGGCACATAACAACAACAACAACCCAACATTGTCTATTTCCTACAAAGTAAAAACTTTTTTATAAGGTATTATGAACTTCTTTTGAAATTTAGTTTGAAATTCTGTATTTAAAATTAACTGTTATAAATATCAGTAGTTATTTATATCAGTACCTGCAAATATCAGTAATTATATATGTATATATGTAAGCAACAGGTTAAACATTTTTAAATAAAATATTCATTTAAAATCTCTATCATTGTCCTTTATCATCTTTCGTAAATTTATATGTTTAAAGAGTCTTTGAAATTGTTAAAAATATTAAAAGCTTTTGACTAACATTACTTACCCAGTGCTCAATCACACTGAAGAAAGCACTCATAAAAGATGTATATTATGAGACCAGACTAAAAGAAAACCAGTGGCCACAGAGGGGAGTCAAGCTCATGGAAACACTGTATCCATGACAGAGGACTTGTGCTATGCAGAGCTTTCAATGGCTGCTCCTGCAGAAGTAGATCCCCAGTCCACGTCTTTCATTCAAGACACCACTGGTGGCTGTGAATTTCCAATTTTCAGTTGGAAACCAAACAAGTTAACCATTTGCACCAGCCAGGGACTCCATATATTCAATGCCAGTTGCTTACAAGAAATTAAAGAAATAGCTGAGGTCCAAATGTGAAGAAACACATCACCCTAGGTCCAATGAGACACAGAACTCTGTCCTTCTGCCCTTTATTCCTAAATTCTTTTCCTTGAATAGCACTACTTTCTCTTTCAATGATGTCTTGAGTATTACTACCCTAGCTTTCATGTACTACACACACTAGGAAGATCATAAGTATCCATCCCAATTAGCTTACCCAATGACCCCATCAGAACTTAATCTAGCTAGAGCCACTATCCCACCTGCCAAAATCACGTATTTTTCTAGGTGGAGTAAAGCCTAAATGAAACCCAATCCTACAAGTTTTGGCTGCCCAGAAAAACAGAATTTGTTCTAAAACCCCACGTCCTCAGGTAAATATGTTCTCTTCACAGATACCAAAGCCTCATTTGGCTGCTGTTTCCTCATTGGTATCTCCACAGGAATTTAATGCTAGAGTTGTACACTAAGCCCATAAATGTGGTCCCAACCATCTAAAACCACAACCTGTGAAATTAGTATGTTCCAAGATACCTAGAAAAATGTGTCTTTCTTTCACCCCTAGCTATACTGTTGTCTTTAAGTGTCATGGAATGGATTCAAATTCACAAGACCATGTGTGCACAGCAGAAATGCTCTCTGTAAGGTATTCAACTCAGGAGAAAGATAAGTAATCTCCTCCTCTGAAAACCCACTGAAGGTGCAACTATGAGTCAGTCCCAACTAAACAGCAAAAAACAAGGCTTTCAATCTAATCTCTTTTGAGGACCTCTGGGTGGGTTTATACTTTCAAGCTCTGTGTTAGTAGTTCATTAATTACTATTTGAACCAGCCAGTGATTTGGTAAATGTATTTACCAGACTCCTTTCTGGTAAATACATTTTTTAAAAGTCATCTACTTTCCTCTGAAGTACACATTCAGATGATTAACACCAATGAGTTTAAATTAAGAGAGAAGTGTTATTACATATACATGTTATACTTCATAGTATGTTTTAGAATTCACTTCATATAACTCTTTAATATTTTAAATGTCATATGTATTTTAACATATATATTATCTACAATCTACACAGTCATCAAATCACAGCTTTGAAAAATTTTTTATTTTATCATATATTTATTTTACTTATAGGGTATAATATCATATTATACTAAACATATTCTTTTCCTTAAGAATATTTATTTTTTCTCTATTCTTACAAATATATCCTCCCTGAACAATATCCAAACTTAAAATACTTGAAGAAATCCAATAAAAACAAACTAGGGTGCTTCTTAAGAGGCAGGCAAGGTAAGGCTGGCGAAACTCCATTACATATATTGAGCATATTGTCAGGAGGGACAAGTCCTTGGAAAGGGACATCACATTAAAAAAAATAGCTGGTTAGCCAAATAGAGGAAGACCTTCTACAAGACAGACTGACAGAGTGACTCCAATAATGAGCTTAAGCATGACAGAGATTGTTGGGAAAGCACAGGATGGGGCAAGGTTTCCATCTGTTGTTCATAGGGTCACTTTGACTCATAGCCGACTCAACAGCACCTAATAACAGCAACAACCAAAGTGGAGCAGTGGGGTAAGTGCTTCTTTTAGATTTGAATCAGTGACATTTAGGTTACAACCCTCTATGAACTAAATCACCAAATTTGAGCTGCCAAATGAAAGGCCCAAGTATGAGTCCACCAGTCACTCTATGGAAAAGATGAGATTCTGCACCCACAAAGATTTAAAAGCCATGGAAACTCTATGGGACACTGCTTTTCTGTCAAAGAATGGCTCTAAGTCTGAATTACCTGAATGGCAGTGACTGGGTTATCAAGGCAAACTTATAGGGCCACCACCCCTTAACAACCAAGCAGCAAATCTGTAATGGCATTTGCTCCACGCATTACTACAAAACAGTAAAGAAAACAAAACAAAAATTCTAAGAAAACCTACCATTCTATACAAATATGCTGCATTTCAGAACATAAACCACAATATAATTTCTTAAATATAAAACATACGTAAGAAATGATTACAAGCAATCAAGTGACAAGTGAATTGAAATTTCAAAAAAGAAAAATGTCATAAAGAATGCCATTTATTCATTTTTTATTTACTTGTATAAAAAAACTGACATGCAGAAGACATAAATAATCGGGAACAGCATTTACACAACATGTCCTGCAGGACTTACCATCATTTTGGTTCTTGCCCTTCATCTCTTCCTTCCATGGTGCGATAGTGTTCAGAGGAACGTATTCCCTCACATATTCTTTGCGTCTCTCCTCTAAGGTCATCTTCAGTAAACGTTCTTGCAAAATAAAAGCAGAATCTCCATTTGTATTTAATTTATAAACTCAGAAATTCTTTATAATTTAAATATTAAATAGATTAAAGTGAGTAAAGAATGAGTGTGGCATCTAGGAACATCAATATACCTATCTAGTGACTCAGTATTTTAGTATCAGAAGAAATTTCAAGTAATTCCATAATCAATCACTCACTCACTGATGTCATGTCAGAGCAGACTTTTTTGACCCTCCTCAGGGTTTTCAGACATTATAAAACACATGGGAGATTGCCCATCTTTCTCGTGTGGAGCTTCTGTTAGATTTGAATCAGCAACCATTAGGTTAGCAGTACAACCCTCTATGAACTACATCACCAGAGCTACACAATTCCAGAAGGAAAACTTCCTCTGTCAGAGAAATTGTGATCAAGAAACCTCTTGTGACAGTCTTGAGGAATAAATAAACCCATTTATGTTTCAAATTAACATGTTTTAGTAGTCTATCAGGTGGCAGGTACTATGGTCATATAGTACAAAAATAAAAGCAGCGCATACTCTTGAGACATTCAAAGAACAAAATGGAAATTATTAACATATTAAATCATGCCTACATAAGTAAACTGCAAAATGCTAAACAGTTCATTCATAAAAGCTAAAAAGCACAATAAAGAGAATCACCAATATATTTCCCCAATTCTACAATGTTGTTGTTGTTGTGTGCCGTCGAGTCGTTTGCGACTCATAGCGACCCTATGTACGACAGCCATAAACCCTGCTCTATCCTGTGCCAATTGCATTGCCTCTGACACACCCATCCCGATTACCCCAGTCACTGAATCAATCCACCTCATAGAGAGTCTTCCCCTCCTGTGGTGTTCCTCTACTCTACCCAGCATGATGTCCCTCTCCAAAGACCTGTCTCTCCTTACAACATGTCCAAAGTATGTCAGACGAAGCCCTAGAATCTTTGCCTCAAGGAGTATGCTGGTTTAACCCTCTCTAGGATGAATCTGTTTGTTTTCTTGGCAGTCCATGGTACATTCAATACTCTTCTCCAGCACCACAGCTCAAAGGCGTCAATTCTCCTTTTATCCTCCCTAGTCATTGTCCAGCTCTCTGATGCATAACAAGTGATTGCAAAAACCATGGCCTGTATCAGGCGCACCTTCGTCTCCAAAGAGACACCATTGCTCTTGAGTACTTTAGAGAGGTCCCTAACGGCAGACTTTCCCATCACAATACATTTTTTTATTTCCTGGCTATTGGTGCCAAGAGTGCTGACCATGGAGCCGAGCAAACTGAAGCTGTGAACAATCTCAATCTCTTCACCATCCATCCTGATGCTACCGATTGGTCCAGTGGTGAGAATTTTTGTCTTCTTGACATTGAGCCTCAGTCCATATTGAAGGCTGCAGTCCTTGACCCTCTGCAGTAAGTGCATGAGGTCCTCCTCAGTTTTAGTGAGAAGGGTTGTGTCATCTGCATATCTCAGATTGTTGATAGATCGTCCACCAATCCTAACGCCACGTTTCTCCTCATAGAGCCCAGACTCTCGGATAATCTGCTCTGCATACAGGTTGAAAAGGTACAGAGATAGGACACATCCCTGGCGTACACCCTTCCCAATTTTGAACCATTCAGTGTTGCCCTGCTCTGTTCTGACGACTGCCCCTTGGTCCAAGTATAGGTTTCGCATTAGCACGATTAAATGTTCTGGGATTCCCATTCTTCTCAGAGTCAGCCACAGTTTGTTATGATCCACGCAGTCAAATGCCTTTGCATAATCAATGAAACACAGACATTCTTCTGGTATTCTCTGCTTTCAGCTAAGATCCATCTAACATCAGCTACAATATCCCTAGTACCACGACCCCTTCTAAACCCAGCCTGGACTTCTGGCAGTTCTCTGCTGATGTGCTGTTCCAGTCGTTTTTGGATAATCTTCAGTAGAATCTTGCTTGCATGTGAAATCAATGAGATTGTTCTGTAGTTTCCACACTCAGCTGAGTCACCCTTCTTTGGAATGGGAACAAATATAGATCTCTTACAGTCAGTTGGCCAAGTGGTTGTTCTCCAGATTTCTTGGCATTATTCTACAATATTAACAATTAACTGTATGTTCAGCTTAGTTATTACTTTCCTACAGGATATATTGTTCTGTTGCTAAGTACCATCAAATGTGATTCATAGAGACCCTATAAACAAGGGATCTGAACCCTGCCTACCTTGTGAATTACTTATTATCTCTGATATATTTGATCGCATCGCTGTAGTCACCCAAAATACTGCTTAGTCCTGCACTGTTGTCAAAATCACTGCTTGTTGAGCCCACTGTTAGAATCACTGCATCACTGCATCTCATTGAGGGCCTTTCTCTTTGTCGCAGACCTTTCACATTCCCTAATATGATGCCTTTCCCTAAAGACTGATCTACTCTAATAAAATGCCTAAGCATAGCCAGTCTTCTCGTTTAAGGAGCATTTTGGCTGTACTTCTAAAACAGATCTGTTTGTTCTTCTGGCAGTTCATGGTATATTACATATTCCTCACCAACACCATATTTTAAAGGCATCAATCTTTCTTTGCTCTTTTTTAATCATGCTCCAACTTTCACATACTTAAGAGGCAAATTAAAACTATTTTGTCTTCGGTCACTCACACTTTAGTCTACAGAAAAGCATCTTTTCTTTTTAGCACTTTCAAGAGGCCCTTGCTCAATACATGATTTAATTTCTTGACTGCTGCCTCCAAGGGTGTGTACTGTGGTAGTAAATGAAATCCTTGGCCACATCAAACTTTTCTTCTGCTATCCTGAGGCTAATTAGTCCAGTTGGGAGGATTTTTGTTTTCTTTATGTATAAGAATAATCTATAGAGAGCATCTTTGAGCATCATCAGTAAACTTTTCAAGTTTTTTGCATTCTCTGCAAAGTTGTGTCCTCTAAATCTAACAAAGTTTTAAAGAGTCTTCTTCCAACCTTGATGTATTCTTCATGTAGTCCAGTTTCTCAAATTATGTGAGCTGCATACAGATTGAATGAGTACAGTGACAAAGATAAAACCCTGACAAACACTGTTCCTAATTATACATCTTGCTCTATTCCTTATTAAAATAAATCCGTAACAGTGGATGTCACTTCTAAAACATCCTAGGGTGGTATCCACAGTTTGCAAAGGTAGCCAACGGGAGCCTACTCAGCAGTCCTATAGAAAAACACTGGTAATCATCCAGAAAGACTATTGGGTGTTGTGGAGCAGATCCAATTCACACTGACCAATGCAGTGCCATGCTCAAAATCTTGGGTACCATTATGTCCATTGTTGCAACCACTTTGTCAATTTATCTCACTGAAGGTCTTCTTTTTTCCTCCAAACTTCTACTTTAACAAGCATGGTATCTTGCTTCAGAGATTAATGGTGGCCTAATAATAATATGAACAGAGACCTCTGGTGGCTTAATGGTAAGAAACTGCCCTGTCTAAGTAAAGGCATGCAGTTCAAATCCACCAGCTTCTCCACGGAGGAAAGATGAGCAATTTCCTCTCATGCTATTTACTGCTTCTGAAAACTCCCTAGAGAGTCAGCTAGGAGGCACTTCCAGCAAGATGCGTAACAACAGTAATATGCACAACATATGTGAGACTGACTTCTCAGGAGTCTTCTGCTGCACTTCTTCCAGGATAGAGTTGTACTTTTTCAGTTCATGCTATATTCAATATTCTTCATCAATCCACATTTCAAAGACATTGTTTCTTCTGTATCGCTTATTCCTAGTCAGTTTTTCTAAGCAGTAGAGGTAAGTGAAAGAAAATATCAATCCTTAGGGCGGATGTCTTCAAAGTCACATCCTTACTATTAAGCACTTTAAAGAGGTCCTTGGTATCAAACCTATCCAGTAAAATATAGCACTGGATTGCTTTTTTTTTTTGTCCCAACATCCAAGTGATTTTATTTCCTTTACTATCTAAGCCAATGATGAAATTTCATGGTGATTTCTAGGCTGGGACAGAAGGAAGGCTGTGGTTAGAACGAACCAGGCATGTGGCCTCACAAGGGCTGCTGCAGCAGAAATGATTGATTGTCCATGAGGCAGGGAGGTGATGTTCCAAGAGCAAAAGAGCTGTAGGCAATGTCCTCTGCAGCCTCCAGCTTGTGCAGCTCAATCAGGCCGTCACCCGCAGGGGCAAGTGAGATGATGATCAGCTTGGCAGCGCTGGAGTCACCTTCAGCCGAAATGATGGTGGCATCCTTCTGCTGCTCAGCCTCTTCCACCACAAATCTAGGCCTTTCTGCTTCCTGCTGAGCCATCTGTCTAGCTTCTACTGCTTCTGGGAACTCCTTCCTGAAGGTCAGATGTGTTAAGGACATGTCATCCAGGATGAGCCCACAAGTGGTTGCTCGCTCTGTGAGGTCATGGCTCACTTGTCCAAAGACCAGCTCTCTCTGGTTGATTAGTACTCCACCATCGAAGCGAGCCACCACCAACTTGAGGTTCTGTTATGATGGATGGAAACACACTCTCGCCATTGTTGTGTATCACAGAGTCGGAATCGACTCACAGCTGATCCTCCAGTGGGCTTTCAGAGGCAGTTAATTGTATGGGAGGAAACTGACCATCCTTCTCCCATGGAGTAGCCAGCTGGTGGCCTTGAACCTCATGCCTACAGGACTGCTGCACAGTTTCTTGCCACTGAGCCTCCAGAGCACCACAACGTATTCACCATGGTCCTCCCCCAATGCTGGTGTAAATTCAAGGCAGATAGCTATCAATAGCTGGAAGAGGATTCAAAGTGTGATGGTGACATTCTGTAGATCTTTGCTACCAGTAATCTCTGGAACATTACATGGTCGAGAGCAGCAAAGAGAATTGATTTCTGTACCCAAGGGATGTCCTGGACTCCACAGAACTGGTCAAAGATGACAGCACTGTGTCCCACATCCACATTTTATGAGACACAGTTCATCAATTCTCCTGCAATCGCTAAGGAACTCAAACACCTTGGCAGCCACGTCTTCTGCTGGATCCTGCTTCTTAACTCACTCACACTTGTTTCCATTCTGACCTCCACATCTCATCAGATTAATTGACTGATACTCTTGTGGCACAGATTGTGGATCTAAGAAAAATGAAAATCAGAGTAACTTCAATAATTTCTCTACTTATCATGTTATTTATTGGTGTAGCTGTAAGGACTTTTGTTTTCTTTACACTGAGATGCAATCCATTCTGATGTCTACAGTCTTTAAAGCTCATCAATAAATGTTTTCAGTCTTTTTCATTTTCTGCAAGCATATTTGTGCCATCTGTATACTGCAGGTTATTAATTAGTCATCCCTCACAACTTCGATGCTATGTTCCACTGTTGTTGTTGTTGTTGTTGTTATGTGCCGTCGAGTTGTTTGTGACTCATAGCGACCCTATGTACGACAGCCATAAACCCTGCTCTATCCTGTGCCAATCGCATTGCTTCTGACACACCCATCCCAATTACCCCAGTCACTGAATCAATCCACCTCATAGAGGGTATTCCCCTCCTGCGCTGTCCCTCTACTCTACCCAGCATGATGTCCCTCTCCAAAGACCTGTCTCTCCTTACAACATGTCCAAAGTATGTCAGACAAAGCCCCAGAATCTTTGCCTCCAAGGAGTAGCCTGGATGAATCCATTTGTTTTCTTGGCAGTCCATGGTACATTCAATACTCTTCTCCAGCACCACAGCTCAAAGGCGTCAATTCTCCTTCTATCCTCCCTAGTCATTGTCCAACTCTCTGATGCATAACAAGTGATTGCAAAAACCATGGCCTGTATCAGGCGGACCTTAGTCTCCAGAGAGACACTGTTGCTCTTGAGTATTTTGGAGAGGTCCCTAACCGTAGACTCTCCCATCACAATACGTTTTTTGATTCCCTGGCTACTGGTGCCAAGAGTGTTGACCATGGAGCAGAGCAAACTGAAGCTGTGAACAATCTCAATCTCTTCACCATCCATCCTGATGCTACCGATTGGTCCAGTGGTGAGAATTTTTGTCTTCTTGACATTGAGCCTCAGTCCATACTGAAGGCTGCAGTCCTTGACCCTCTGCAGTAAGTGCATGAGGTCCTCCTCAGTTTCAGTGAGAAGGGTTGTGTCATCTGCATATCTCAGATTGTTGATAGGTCGTCCACCAATCCTAAGGCCACGCTTCTCCTCATAGAGCCCAGACTCTCGGATAATCTGCTCTGCATACAGGTTGAAAAGGTACAGAGATAGGACACATCCCTGGCGTACACCCTTCCCAATTTTGAACCATTCAGTGTTGCCCTGCTCTGTTCTGATGACTGCCCCTTGGTCCAAGTATAGGTTTCGCATTAGCACGATTAAATGTTCTGGGATTCCCAGTCTTCTCAGAGTCAGCCACAGTTTGTTAGGATCCAAGCAGTCAAATGCCTTTGCATAATCAATGAAACACAGACATTCTTCTGGTATTCTCTGCTTTCAGCTAAGATCCATCTAACATCAGCTACAATATCCCTAGTACCACGACCCCTTCTAAACCCAGCCTGGACTTCTGGCAGTTCTCTGCTGATGTACTGTTCCAGTCATTTTTGGATAATCTTCAGTAGAATCTTGCTTGCATGTAAAATCAATGAGATTGTTCTGTAGTTTCCACACTCAGTTGGGTCGTCCTTCTTTGGGATGGGAACAAATATTCCAGTCAGTTGGCCAAGTGGTTCCTCTCCAGATTTCTTGGCACAACTTGGTGAGCACATCCACGGCAGCATCTGCTAGCTGAAATATGTCAATTGGTATACCATCTATTCTGGGGGCCTTATTTTTTGCTATATCCTTCAAAGCAGCTTGAACTTCTGCCTACATCACCATAGGCTCTAGCTCACATGCTATTTCCTTAAATTCTTCTGTATCTGCCAATTCCTTTCGATACAATGACTCAGTATTTGCTGGGCATACAGATGCATAAGTATGGTGAAAAAAAAATATATATCCTTGATGCACACCTGTCCTGATTTTAAACATGCTCACTTGGCTCTCTTAAGAAATCTACCAGACAGTTACATAATCTTTCATCTGGAAAAGATTCATATTTGAGCCCATCCCAAAGAAAGGTAATCTAACAGAATGTAGAAACTACATAAAAATATTATGACTATCACACTAAAGTAAAATCTTGCTTACGATCATTAAAAAATGGCTAGAGGAGTTTGTCAACAATGAAATGCCAGAAATTCAAGCCGGATTCAGAAGAGGATGTGCAATCCAGCATATCA